AACATTGTCACAGTGATGCCGAAGCCAAGGGCGAAGAAGTGTGCACGCCAAATTCCACTTGCGGAGCAGGTCAAATCGCTCGCCAGTCTCCACCAGGCCCTAATGGACCTAGAAGTGCATGATGATTAACACCTGTCTCTAATTCTAGTGGGTCTAGTAGGTCAGCAGCCATATCACCCTGTAGCCCAAGACTGGTTGCCCACTGAAGCTAAGCAGGGCTGAGCCTGGTTAGTACCTGGGTGGAAGACCTTCTGAGAAAACCAGGTTGCTGCTGGAAGAGGTGTTAGTGAGGCCAGCAGGGGGCGCTCACCCTGTGGTCTGTGTGGGTCCTAACACCCCAGTATAGTAATGGGGACACTATACCGTCAAAGAGCACCGTCCTTCGGATGAGACGTTAAACTGAGGTCCTGACTATCTGTGGTCACAAAAAATCCCAGGATGTCTTTCGAAAGAGTAGGGGTGTAACCCGGCATGAGGACATGTTCTATCTATGTGTTGGAAATCTTGTTACTGTATATTGAATGTGTAAGAGCGCTTTTATTTATGAACATTGTCACAGTGATGCCGAAGCCAAGGGCGAAGAAGTGTGCACGCCAAATTCCACTTGCGGAGCAGGTCAAATCGCTCGCCAGTCTCCACCAGGCCCTAATGGACCTAGAAGTGCATGATGATTAACACCTGTCTCTAATTCTAGTAGGTCTAGTAGGTCAGCAGCCATATCACCCTGTAGCCCAAGACTGGTTGCCCACTGAAGCTAAGCAGGGCTGAGCCTGGTTAGTACCTGGGTGGAAGACCTTCTGAGAAAACCAGGTTGCTGCTGGAAGAGGTGTTAGTGAGGCCAGCAGGGGGCGCTCACCCTGTGGTCTGTGTGGGTCCTAACACCCCAGTATAGTAATGGGGACACTATACCGTCAAAGAGCACCGTCCTTCGGATGAGACGTTAAACTGAGGTCCTGACTATCTGTGGTCACAAAAAATCCCAGGATGTCTTTCGAAAGAGTAGGGGTGTAACCCGGCATGAGGACATGTTCTATCTATGTGTTGGAAATCTTTGTTACTGTATATTGAATGTGCAAGAGCGCTTTTATTTATGAACATTGTCACAGTGATGGCGAAGCCCAGGGCGAAGAAGTGTGCACGCCAAATTCCACTTGCGGAGCAGGTCAAATCGCTCGCCAGTCTCCACCAGGCCCCAATGGACCTCAGACTGGAGCCGGAGGATTGTTTCCGTCTGCTGTACCAGGGGCAGGAGGAGGACCGGCAGGAGGCATTTGTGGACCAGTTTGAGAAGAAATCGGAGGAGGCAGGTGCGCCTGGGTGGTGATGGCGCAATGGATAAGACACATGCCTTTGGTGTGAGAAACCCCGGTTGTGGGTTTCAATGTGTCCCTGAGCAAGACACCTAACCCCTAGTTGCTCCAGAGGCGTGCGACCTCTGACATATATAGCAATTGTAAGTCGCTTTTGATAAAAGCGTCAGCTAAATGAATAAATATAAATGTAAATGTATGATTCAGCTGCTGTCTGGGTAAGCACAGGTAGCAGCGTAACAGCTGCTTGTGGCGAACCTCCTGCCAGATGGTGGCCTCAAGAGATGTGAGGCCACCATCCATTGTTTCATCACTATGTTAATTTTATGAATGATGTAATCACCAAGGGCTATGCCCCACGATGTCAAGCAAGTAATCAACTTGGAGGTGCTGGAGCAGTTCATCGCTCGCAGGACTGCCGAGTGGGTCCAGTGCCACCACCCGACGTCACTGAACGTGGCCATCCAGCTGGCCAAGGATCATATGGCGGCATGAACAGGGGGATGCGAGCCCTTCCCTAATGTTTCTCTCTCTTTTTCTTCTCTCTCTAGTCCCGTCCTGTCCCTATTCCCAGGTCGTGGAGCAATGCGTGCCCTCGACAGCCACAGCAGGGAAGAGGCAGTCTGGCCTCTGAAGTTTCCCAGGGTTACGGACCTTGGACACAAGGGAACATGTCCGGACCCTCTGCGTCTTTTTCGCCTCTCCCCTTTTTCTGTCAGTCTCTTTGACAACTTTCTGGCGGTGGGGCGGCCTGGGCTTGTCTGCTGGAGATGCAGGGACCTGGGTCATTTCCAGGATAGGTGTCCAGTCGTAAAACTGTGGGGACTTGGATCCGGGTTCCCGACTCCCCACAGGGAGGTCCTCTGTCCTGAGATCGCTGAGGGTGGCGGGACTCACAGCAAACCCAAAGAAGTGTGTCTGGGCTTCCACTTGGGACATGGGCAGGTGCGTCACCAAATTGATAAGACTGACGCGATTGCAGCCTGCCCAGATCCAAAAAGATCAAAAAGGAGGTGAGACAGTTCCTGGGGCTGGTGGGATATTAAGTTTGTGCCTAATTATTTGGAGCTCACCAGGTTGCTCACCCATCTTACTAAAAAGAAAGGTCCAAATCCGATCCAGTGGATGGAGCTGTGCCAATAGGTTGTAACCAAAGTGACAGTTGCTCTCGGGCTGCTCTAACAGTCTCCTAATTTTTTTCTTCCCTTTTTATTGCAGACAGATGCTTCGAACAGGAGGCTAGGAATCGTCTTGTCCCAGATGGTCGGAGAAGAGGAACGGCCGGTGCTGAAATGACTGAAATAACTACCAGTAAGTTAAAATCCTGCATAGTGCACCTTTAATCTCTTCGCTTTTCTGATGACATGTTTACTGGAGCACGGGCGGGACAACCCGTCACTGATCGGCCAATAGCAAACCACAAACATATAACAATTCCCCAAGGACAAAATCAAGTGTATCGCAACTTCTGCTTCAGGCCACTGTATCTGTTCTACAAAGTCATTGTAGCATTTTAACTAGTCTATAATGCTAGATGTTAGCATTCATTACATTTACAGTGACTTGCATTACATTACAATTTATCAGTCATGCATACATTTTTTAAATCAAAATTAAAAATAATAATAACGTTGTAAAATGAATATGAACAAATAAGCTTTCTATTGATGTATGATTTGTTAGTATAGGACAATATTTGGGCGATATACAACTATTTGAAAGTCTGAAATCTGAGGGTGCAAAAAAATCGAAACAATGAGAAAATCACCTTTAAAGTTGTCCATTTAAGTTTGCGATTGTGCTGCTTTCACTCACAAAAATAAGTGTTTTATATATTTATGGTAGCAAATGTATAAAATATCTTCATGGAACACAATATTTACTTAATATCCTAATCATTTTTAGCATAAAAGTAATAATTTTGACTTATTCAATGTACTGTTGTTGGCTATTGCCACAAATCTACCTGTGCGACTTGTGACTGGTTTTGTGATCCAGGATCAAACTTTGCATTTCAACTATGCTCTACTTATACTTTCATGTTTTAAAGGTTATTACATTTTTTGTCTAGTTAAAAAGTATGTTTATGATCTGTTTAATTCAACTAAGAAATTAATTAAACAAAAATAATTCATACAAAAATAATTAATTAAAGGGACAATGTGTACTTTATTATTTAAAATCAATAGTTCTATTCATAAATATGTCCTTAATGGTGTACAAATGCCTCTGACAATTATCTGACTTATCCTCGTAAATGAAGAATTTATTATCTTTATATACATGGGACGGGTAAGTCCACGGAGGCTTCCATGTAGTTCCGCCATATTGAAAAACTACAATAGCAGAGAGGGACAAAAAATAATAGGCCAATTTGTTTCCACAACGCATTTTCGTTCAGAGCGAGCGTGACGTGACTGAAAGCAGCAGAAATGGAGGAACAGAGCCGTAAGAGGCGCTTGTCACTGCCCAACAAGTTTAAAAGGCTCGTAAAAGGAAAAAAATGGATTGTAAAAGGAAACAGGACTGGAGGTTACAAAAAACAAAAAGTTAATGTTGGGTTAGCTTTTTCCAGTGAATAGATCTAATGCAGGAGAAATATTTCAAAAGAGGCGCTGAAGTCCTGCTTTCTTATCGACAGGTAAATCAATGTTACAGTCTAAATTACAAGCTATTTTTCATTGTTTGGTTGTGTACTTTAATTTATAGACTGATGAACATTTATAGTTAGTTGATGATGATATCTAACAATGCACGTACTTCAGAAAATATAACGAACAAAGAAGGCATAACTACTTATTACAATAGTTCATGTTTTCCACAGTCCGTAATTCATACTGTAACATTCGTTTGTTCGTTGTGTCAAGTCGCTGTTTGTTTGAAATAACAAACCAGTTCACCCAGAAGGAACACCCGACGAAGTGCTATTAGAAGACATCCTTTCATAGCTTTTTGGTACATACGACTACCGTAGATGCGACGCGAATTTGAAAAAGCGAGGCGCTGGAGAGCACAATTTGAATGCAAAATACATTTTCACCACTAGATGGGAGAAATTCCTACACATTGTCCCTTTAAAACTAATTCCATTAAAGGATCCTATGATGGGACCCTCTAAAAGGTTCTATATACATTTACATACAAAAGGTTCTATATTCTATATAAAAGGTATGAAGTGCCTGATAGAACACTTTAAGGTTCTATATTGAACATTTTCTTCTATAAACCTGGCATTGACTATAAACATTGTTAGCCTTTTGACAAATAGCTTTGTAAGACGCTTTATATAAAAGCATGCGCTAAATTCATTATTGTACATGTAGATGTAAAATAAGAAAAAAATGGCTGAAGGATTTCACAGGTATAATAGATGCATGAATTTTACACTTCAAAAAACGTCATTTTTTCCACTGTCTTCTATCCTTTCTTTTACTGCTGTCAGAGGAAGGAAGGCAACGGCCACCATCTCAACTCTAAATTGCTTTCAACTATTTGAGAGATACACAACATTTACATCCTGTTGTGGGCATCCATTCCTCTGAACTATGCATCCAAGGCAAAATCAAAATCAGTTTGTGTTTCTGCAAGCTTCTGCATGAGTATCTATATGCCTTCTTTATACTGTGCATGCATATACGACTGTATACAATTCTTCCAGGTTCATTTGTGTGCATTTACATGACATATTACCTGAGGTTGATGACCCAGTGGTTGACCTCCAGGGGTTTTCCAGGGCTGGCTTACCGCAGTGTCTGCAGCATATCTCCCTCTCCTCTTGAACCTTTGGCTTCCTGTGGAAAATGTTGTCATTTTAACGCTTATTCAAAGATGTCCATATTTTCCATGCATAACTGGTGACATTAGCTTTTACAACTTTATTCATCATCAACGTATAACTTCAAAAACCGAGTCACTTCATTTTCCTCTGGTGTTTTTTTTTTTTTTTTAACACTTGTTGATCTGGGCAGCTAACACCTGCGGATTCAGTAACACTTCTAGAGGTGCATTTCAACACATTCAAGTGCTTTAGCTAGACCACAGCTAATTATGACCAGCAGGTAGGGTCAGTGACAAACCCACAAGCTTTCAGGTGTTACTGATGATGCTCTCTGTTAGGTTTAGTGTGTTATCACATTTGTGCTATCATTTAGGAGAAACTGCACAACCAGTTTAACGGTTTTAAAAGACACTAGCCTGAATTTGTTTCACATGCTCTTAAAAAACTTTTGATCTAAACGCTGTCAGCAGTTCCTTAGACAAATATAAATATACACAGGCATGACTTTGTTTACTACTTTATTTGACCTTTTTAATCCAGTAAATTGTTAGCTTAAGCCTAGTTCACACTACGTGATTTTAAGCCCGATTTAAGTCGATTTGCAAATCGCTGAGTCGCCGACAAGTCAGGGTGTTATCGCGTGCAAATTGCGGGCGATTAGCGGACGATTAACGCTCGCCAATCCGTTAGTGTGAAAGAGCCAACAACGCATCAAAGACAGCTCGCAGACACCTCGCAGACAGGTCACCGAGCTCAGAAAAATATCTAGCATGCTAGATATCTCGAGCAGTCGCGCGACTCAATCTCAGTGATGTCATGAGTACAGCCAATCATAGCAACGCATGGGTTGAGGACACCAGGTAAATCTTACTTTTTCTTTTTTGCATTTTTTTTTCTCAGAGCAGATCGTCGAGCAAACAGTGTGCAGCACTAGTTTCTGTCTGACGTCCATATTCGCGTGTTGTGTTCTTCTCTGCAGTTTCGCGTCATTTCTGGTTCGTTTTATTGCGTGGTTTTTCGTTACAAAACATGGTTTCTAGACCAGATAGAATCGTGTTGTTGTCAACTCGTTATTTGTTTGATTATTTTCAGGATTTAGACCGTACTATAGTACTGAAACAGCTCTCATTGAGTCACAAATGATATGCTCTTATCATCCGATCGTGGTTGTATCTCTATGTAGTGCGTTGTTAACTCGTGTAGTGAGTTACCTCCTGTTGTGGATCAATCACGTTGTGTTGTGTGGTGTGAACAGCTAAACAACTTGAACACTCATGATTTCACTGAGAGCAAGTCATGTAGTGTGAACTGCACAGTTCAGCCTGACATTTTAAAATCATGTAGTGTGAACTAGGCATTACACGTGTATTCCTTCAACACTTCATCAGGATGCACCTGATGAAGTATAAAAATATTAAGAAATGAGTAGGCTTGATGACACGAAGAGGAAATTTATGAACAAAACTCGATATACATGCAGCGCTCTTTAGCCTCACACATGTAGACACACAAAGCGGCAATTTGCCAAATGCATTTCAAATCTGTTTAATCAAACGATTAAGATTACATCACCTCCTTCTGTCTAAAACAAGACTAAAAAGTGTAAGAACAAAGGTTTTGCGCTCAGGTAGCAGGAAACAAAGCAAGCCGACAATGGTTTCCTCTGCCAGAGTAAAGCAACCTGCAGCACATCTACAGTGTGAAGGAAAGATCATCCGATTTTATATCCGATTCAAATATTTCGAGCCAAAATAATAATAATAATAATAATATGCTCTTCAAAATCTAAGAAGTGACCCTATTACCTTACGTTTGAAAGGCCTTCGGATATTTACATTATTTGGGATGTTTAATCATGAAACCTAGTGAACTGGTGAGTGGGTGGTTTGTACTGTTTCTATGTATGTGCATGCGCAAAAAAAAAAAAAGTTTCAATCTTACACTCACATTGGGCAAAACAAGCATAATGATCTCTGTCTGAATGGGGCACCTGTTTTTGTGTGTGGAGTGGAACAGTCTTTGGCTAAAATGAGCCTGAAATAGAGCATCGTGCTCTGAGGGTGGCGATGGCTGACTTTCACATTTTCTGTTTGTAATTTGGGGATAATTGGGGGGCTCCCCTCAGTTTCAGCCTTGATAGTAAGTGTTGTTTTCCAAAACACGCCCCCGACATATCCAGTATTTGGTGCGCGTGATGCGTCCGTGCTTTTATCCTGGCTCAAACACTTAAAATATCGACGAACAGATCTTTATGACCACAAGCACATCTATATACATCACACATGTCTAATTGCAAATAAAAGTAATCATAACAATAACAATATTTATTATTCATACTCCAAAGTGTTTCATTACAATAATGTATCACAACACTATCCATAATTGTCTTTATTGAACTATTATTCCAGTGCTACTGAACCAGAGGCCGTTATTAGTTTCATTTGGAGCCTGTTGAAAGACATGTAGGTGGAACAGGGGGCTGGGTTGGGGAAAAAGTGTCTGTTGGAAAGAGAGCATACACTGCCCTTAAAAAAGTTTGACATGCTTGATTGAGTTTGTTTCTCAACTTAACTAAGACATAGAATAATACTTTTGTTATACAATACAAATAAATACATTTTTGATCATTATTTGATCTTAAAAGGTGGTTGGAGTGGACTGTGGTGAAGAAGCGTGCATGTGAACTTCAATATGGTTTTAAAAAAGTCAAAAACACTGTAAAACATAATCGTGATTTTAACGGTAAAAGACTGCTAATTGGTTAACAGAAAGTTTCCGTACTACATACGGTAAATAACTGTGATATAATTTTACTGTAAAATACAGTTAAATTTACTGTTTCTGAAAGTGAAAAAGAACAACTCATTGTATAATTTACAGTGAAAACCCGTAAATTGACATTCCGACAAATCCCTGTGACACTTCACAGTTTATTTATTTTTGATGAAATAACTACTGTTCCTCATAGTTTTCTTCTTGTTTTTTTTTCTAATCAGTTATGTACATTAGGGTTTTATGTTACATTTAATATTGTTAAATTAATGATAAATGCATTTATTTTTAAAATTTCATTTGTGTTACCATGATGAATGAGACTGTGCAGCTTCTTTATATAAGTATTAACCTTCTAATGGAAGACTTTTTAAGAGCTTTGATTGATCATGTAACTCTCATCATTGCTGTGATGATTGTTGGTTGTCAGTGTAATACAATGTTATAAAACAGATATACATTTTTCAAAAGTTAAAAGTTAAAACATTTTATCAGAAAATGAAATACAGTTTATTACTTTAAGTTTTAAGCTAAGTCTGTAAAACCATTAATGTTCCTACCGTATTTTTAAAGATAAAGTTCAGGCAACCACAGCTGCCATTTTTTTTTTACTGTAAAAATTACGGTTTTATAAGAGTTTTATAAATTTTTTATAACCATAATTTAGAATTTTATATCTAAGAATCAGGATACACTCTAAAAAATGCTGGGTTGTTTTAACCCAATTTTGGGTCAAATATGGACAAACCCGAAATGTTGGGTTAAAAATGTAATGTAAAAATTTAACCCAACGGCTGGGTTAGTCCATATTTGACCCAAAGTTGGGTTAAAACAACCCAGCATTTTTTAGAGTGTAAAAGTCGATTTCAAGCAATCATGGTCTTCTTCAGTAGTATTGCATAGTAGAAAACCAATCCTTTTTTTAAAAGTAATACAACATTGGATTTTGTGGTATTTGCTTTGGTTTTGACTGTAAATGTGTTGTTGCATTAAAAACGTGTTTACCAGGCTTATGGTGTTCCGCTGAAATTAACTGACTATAATGTGGCTTCCTGCTGAAAATATCGTTATGAAAAGAGATTTTTTCACCATGCTGACAATACCCAGATGTCTCATAACCCTGGACTTATTCCTGAAAAAAAGACTACTGGACTGCTGAAGGTTAAAGTTTGATAAATACATATAGTTTCTTAATGTTAAAATGTTATTGAATTTTTAATGCTCAGATATACAGACAGCCCAAAAGTATTTGAACACTTAAAAGAGGGCACTTTCTTCTATGAAATATATTAGGAAGTATGTTGGTCTTCAAACAGTTTCCATTGTATGGACAAAAATATTATCAAAAAATACAGTAATATGTATGATGTTCCACAGAAAAAAAAAGAAAGAAAAGAAAGTCATACCGGTGTAGAATTACATGAGGGTGAATAAATGATGACAGAATTGGGTAAACTTTCCCTTTGAGCTACCCGTTAAACATGCATCATTGCATTAGATAGAAAGCATCTTAATGTGATCAATATCTATTGTTTACCATTTAAAACCAAATGTTTTGGAAAATGTTTTACTTGAAAAATGTGTACATTGATATTTATTGATAATTGAGCACGAGTGATAAGTTCAAATGGTAAGATTGCGTTTGTTTAAAGCATTTCTCTCTAATATTAATGTCAAAATCATTCATCAATTTCTATATGTATCTGGCTTTATAGTTAAATAGTTAATTAATAGTCCAAATCAAGCAAAAAAAATCACAATCAATACGACAATAAAAAAAAAAAAAAATCTAGCTTACCTCAAATGAACCATAGCTATTCTTGTTCACTTCTCTTTCATTAAAATCAGTTTCACATGGTTGGATATTTGATCAACTCAATAACGTTTGTAAGTATCGTTTCAGAAAGTCGTTTCTTACCTCTCTTGACTTTCTGACACGGACTCTGTTAAAGCTGCACTGATAGAGGTGGTCTTTCCTTTTAGACCCGAAACGAAGGGACTGTCTTGAGTCATCTGAGAAGAGTGTATGAGAGGGTGATAGGGGTGAAGCAGCCCGGGATAACCCATAAGTGAGGAAGAGACATGTGGTTGGAGCGAGCGGTGCAGGAGGGGGTACATGGGTGTGGGGTACGGGTACGCTCGGAGCGAGTGGAAGGTCATAATTTCTCTACAGTTTAACACCATGCCACGAGACGGGCTGACTGGGGGCCAACACAAGCGAGGGGTCAAAGATGGGGTGCTGGAAGAGATGATGGGTTCTCTGGAGAACATTGGAGGCTGAGGAGACGCAGGAGAACAGCTTTTGTTGTATGGATCATCGACCGAAATCTTGTGATCTTTATTGGTGGAAGATCGTTCTTCTTTTAAAGAACAATCGAGGTTGTCTTTATCCTTAGAGCGGCTTTTTTTGGACAACTCGTTGTGCTTGAATGTTTTGTCTTCTTGGAGCGACTTTACCACTTTTGTGTCTGTCTTAGTAGGGGAATTTGCACTACCGAGTAGTGCTTGACACTGTTCTACCAAAGACTCCACTTCCAGGTACTCTGCACCCCTCAGAAGCTCATCTAGGTCATCTTTGGGCACCTGCACCGATTCGCTGTACACATAGTCCAAGATTTGCTTGAATGTGTGGGGAGAGACGCTTTCTATTGCGCAGCTGTACCCCCGACCTGGACCGTGCTGGTTTGTTAACTGACGCTTGAGCCGCTTGCTCGCCAGCGCTAGGATCAGGGCATGGGCTTTAAATGAAAGGCCTTCCACGGTGAGAAGCGTGTCACAAAGGGTCCCTGCCTGACGGAGCTGCTCCGTCTGATGCAGAAAAGGCACGTGGTGAGGGTTATGAATGCGGATCATCTTCAAAGAGCGAAAGGGGCAGCTGAAGTGAGATGATCGGGTTTGATGTCGAGCTGCGAAATCTCATTTCAGCCTTTGGAAGGGGGAAAAAACAGAGGTTAATTTTGTCAAGGGAAACTTGCTTCAGTTTGGAACTGAAGAGAGAGAGACAAAAGGTTCTCAGATCTTAAATGAACATGATCAAAAATCGGTAATTATATAAATATACATACAACAAAATATGCTACATTATTAGAAAATAATTAAAATGCCAATGTTATAAACTGTGCGCTGCCGTCCGTCTTGCAATATCTCAATGGGATTTTCCTGGCTTAAAAAAAAAACAAAAAAACCTATGTCACACATACAGTAGTAGTAATTTAAAAATGATTTAAAAACTATTTAAAATAAAAATATTACATTTTCTATTGATAATTAAGTACATCTGATTATGATAATGAGATTTTTAAAACCCATTTTTCTCTCTGATGCAAACTCTATCAATCTCGAGACATTCAACAGTCATGTATAAGACAAGAAGACATTGCCAACCATTGCCATTTCACCCAAGGATTAATCAATGTTTCATAGTTAAGCTTTACAGACAGACACCGAAAGAAGGAGTGAAACATAGATAAGCCGAAGCATTTCACTTAATTTCAGCGATTGTGAAAGACATATTCAGAAGAATCAGTAGGGTTTTTTTTTTTTCAGAACTCATCAGCGTCACAACACCTTCAACCTACTTTCAGACAGACGAACTAATTCACAAAATGAAACTCTAGCAATGTTTAATCATTTCTATCTCACAATACATTCAACCATGAACTGGAATTGCATTGTCTAGGTATGGCAAAGAGCGGAGGCGGGCGTGTTTGGTCACGTCAAGGTGCAAGGGCCTTTCGAATTTTGCATCACCTTTGAAATTCTGTTGTGAAGCACTGCGATGAAGCCACAGACCTCTTCAGAATGTGAAACTCTGACTAATGCCGGTACGCTGAGACTCGTAAGAGTTCAAGTTTGTTTGATCAACAACAACAGTATCAAAGCCATACAGTAGGTCGGTTTAGATATGCATCTACTGTAGTAGCAGTGTGATGTGGTGTCTGGTGGAACGTTTGATTACAGTAGGCCTACATCTCAGCTGTGTACTAATTCCTCAAAATCGCGCAGAAACTGGACACGATTTCAATACTCCATCTTGAAGTTACGGCCAATGAATGACTCTCCAAATAACACAACCATTCTGGGATTTCAGAATCCAATTTCCAAAAACAAAGGCTGTTTTTAGATATTATTATTGAGATGTGAGAGGTATCTCAATCGGCGATATTCCTATATGACCCATTGTCTGTTTTTGGTCATCGATCTCCCAATTGCGTACAAAAGAAAGTAAGATTACGGAATGCCTGCAAAAACTTGCTGATACGATCACTCCCCCTCAGCGCAGACGCGGTGACGGATTGTGGAACATATTGTTCTGAGATGACGGTGCTCGATGTTCTAATTACTAGAATTGATGCTAAACTGGCTAAAAGTGACACACACACACACACACACACACATAGCATGAAAGAACAACCAAAGCAACCTGAACATTAATATTGTAAAACATTTATCGGTAACACTTTATTTTGATAGTCCACTTTAGACACTCTAAGTAACTTTGCCGCTACATGTCAACTAACTATCATTAGAGTATTAGTAGACTGTCAGCTTAATATCTGCTAACACTTTATTTTGTTGGTCCCCCAACAGACAATTAACTGACTGTAAGTAACTTAGCAACTACAAGTCAGCTTATTCTCCTAACCTGAATCCTAACACCTAACCCTAACCTGACAGTCTACTACAGCCTACTAAAGCCCACTAATACTCTAATGAGAGTTACTGGACATGTAGTTGAAAAGTTACTTATAGTTAGTAGAATGTCTAAAGTGACTATCGAAATAAAGTGTAACCCATTTATCAAACAGATGTGTTTCATAACTGTCCAAATTAACTGATGGAATTTACGCACTCGATGAGGTGTTTTTGAACCAAGTTAGCCTATTTAAAGCGATAGGTCACCCAAAAACTGACAATTGTCATCATTTACTTATACTTTCATGTCGCCCCAAACCTGTATGACTTGTTTTCTTTGGAAGAACAAAAAAAGAGAATTGAATTTTCAAATCACAGAGTTCGGGATGACAAACAAGTGTGAGTAAATGACTACTGATTTTTCCGGTGAACGGTACCTTTGACAGAGAATATACTCGGCTAAAAACAGAAAAGACTTCTATGGTCCCTTGCAACATTATTTGTAGCATTAGGTTGGGTGTGTACCTGTTTTTCTTTTTTAAGTATGAGTCACATTTTAAGCTACAATATTAATAGTCTAGTGTGTTGTAATATAAGTGAGTCATATTATTGTACTAAAGCTACACTATAAATGCAGCGTACAGTATGTCGTAATTTGTTTTTAAACATGCAAAAATGAATATCAAAATAGCCAAAAATGAAAGTTTTTGCTTTTCAAAAGTTACAAAAAAAAACTTATAATCCTAGCCGATTTGGTAAAAACGATCAAGTTATGTATTGTATGTAAAGCAAATGGAATATGCTAAGCATATTCTACATTTTAAATCGAAAATAGTCAAATAAACATGAACTGTTTCATGCATTACTGCATTTACTGTATATCCTACAACTACTGTCACATGCGACTGAGAGGTAGAGAAAGTTGTGTCTATGCTTATGACCAAAGTAATGCTAAATGAAATGCAAATGGAACTTATTTTGCTTTCTTAAGGTTTAGCAAAGACCAATTTGTTTTACATTTTTATGCTCAGTTAGAACACACTAAATAAAGAGTGTCACATACCTCACCAGTTCCTACTCTTTCTCCGCGACTTCTAAAACCCTAGTGCAGTTGAATTCTCATTTGAGCGTGAGAATTAGAAGAATGAAACTGAAGAAAAGACCTAAGATCTAAAACTGCAAATTCTGCAGTAGTGCAATGAGCAATTGGCTTACCTGCCGCACAGGCCCATGAATGTCTTAATGTGACTCGCAGGTCACACTCTGTCCCATCACCAAACCAAACCCTTCCCATTGTACGAAACTACAGTACATCTGATGTCAAAACTACTGTCCAATGATAGACATTAGCCCAGGCCACAAAAAAAGTCACCTATAGATTGTACAACAGACAAATGCAGGTGATTAACTTTAGAAAACTGCAATGGTGCATCGGTCAGACCCACATAAAGACACAGCGAGAGAAAGAGGCCCATGAGTAACAGGGGAAAACCTGTCTGCACAGTGACACATCCTCTCCGGGCCTGCAGTCAGAAAAGACCTCAACACACAATCAGACACTTGCACGGATGCTTTTGTAATCAAAAGATGTTTTTCCAGATATAGAAAGCACTGCACTTGGTGATGGGGGGAGGGGAGGATAGACAGCAGACAAGATGAGAAACAGCAAGATGACACCAAACGATGGAAAAGAAGAAGAGCCTGACTCACAGAAACTTTCAAAAGACGTACCTATGAGCTCAAGGTGGAGGTTGCGTCCTGCCGCGAGCAAGTCAACAGAGACGCATTACCGCGCATTGCGACCTCAACCAGAGGTGTCATCGACCAGTGGATGCCTACATGTGGGTGAGATATAGCAAGGCCACCTCTAAACTCAAGCCAGCTCCTCCCCTAAAGGCATCTGTGATTGGTCTTCTTCTCCTCTCTTTTCTTCCTTTCTTTCACTATTTTTTTCTTTCTTTCTAGAAATCAAGTGCATCTGTGCTGTTGACTTTGTTTATCCATCAAAACCTTTTATGATAACTGCAGAAATATGGACCTGGTTAAACTCAGAAAGTTGATTAATGATGATATTTCCAATTCAATACACATTTTATACAAGGAATGCAATAAATTAGTTGTCATCTTAGAAATAACACATCTGCTCAAACTTCTATGTTCACTTAATAGCGATACTGTCAAAGAACCAAGCTAATGATTTCCATATTTCTAAAATGGGAGTTCAATATTGTAGCCGATAGCCTATATTAAAACATATATGATTGAGACATGAAACTACTTTAAATAAAGCCCAACTCACTGTAAAAAAATTATAGTTGCAAATTAAAATGAATATCCCATTTTAGTCTTTCAACTTCAAAAATTCATGTTTAATTCAATGTGTTACTATTTGCAATTATGTAATGAATAATTATGAATTAACTAGCAGTTTCTGAGTGAACAAACTGTTTCAAAACAAATCCTACACCACATTTTTTTCAATCTAATACGATTTGTCATGGGAGGAGTGAGGTAAATAATCACTTGTTTTGGTTGTTAAACAGGACTAGATTAATAAGCTTAACAGAAGCGAATAGAAATTAATATTTGGAACTCTTTACTAATAGGTTTGCCTTAATTTTAACACTTGTTTGTGCCCTTTTTGGTGCAACTGCCCACTCCTTCCCATGTTCCATACCATAATCACAAAATATCATGTTATGGAAAACAGCCAGTTTAGCATGAAAGGAAAGGTGAGATGCAGAGGTAGCTGTCGCTCTGGCCACAAGTGAAACTCGCAAAAAAAAAAAACCAAAAAAAAAACTGTTAAAGATTCACCTCTTCTATTATCATCTCACCTATCTGAACATACATCAGTGCACACATGCATCTTCCAGTACCCACGCTGATGATATAATCATATTTTTCTAAATTAATGCTATTGGTTCAAAAGCAACTCAACCCACAAGATGAGAACAATTCCATGAAGAAAAAAGTGAAAGTGCTAATAGCAGTGGAGGCTGCAGATCTTATCAGTTTATGAGATGCAAAACTACAATTTCTAACGAAAACTGTCATTATAATGCACCATTTTCTTCATAGTAAGGAAAGGCCTGTCTTTCCAATGGTGTTATGGGGTCCCTAGAGGTTTACAGTCAGAATTATAATCTCTGCAGAAGATGAAAAGGCCAAAATGAGAGTTCACAGTTCAGAACCTTTAGAAATATTTAGCAACTTTTGTTGTTTTCAATGATTGAACTTGAATAGGTCAATTTCTTTTATGAAGACATGAAAACTATAATAAACATAACAGTGATTTTTAATCTGTTGTTTACTTCTTTTCTGCAGTTAAAACACTAATTGCACGATAACATGATAGCATTTCAGTAAGTTGTAGGGTATCTTTCAACATTCCCTCGGATGTTCATGTATTTTTTGTGATATAGCCGAACTAGTAGTAAAGACTAAGAGGAAGAGATGGTCAGCTCACATGAGTTCCCGCCGCGCTTGAACTGGGGCAATAGAGTAACGCCACAATAAAGAGCGACAAATGGTGGCCTATGTTTAATACTTGGGAATAGAACTTACAGAACTTGAAAGCTGAGACTTTTCATATCAGAAGTAACCTGCTCGGTCATGTCTGTCGACACGCTGTTGGTCCTCTTTGCTTTCAACGCTGGAGAAAATGGACGTGAATAAGAGCGTTAGGACCATAGACGGTTAGAACAGCGTCTATTGTGTGTTCCGGGTTCATACAGTCCTGGAAGCTATTCATAAACTAAACAGGGTTCTTGATCGCTGTGTTTTGTTCCTCGCATTCTGTTTTGGTTGGAGAGGGATGATGAGCACAGGGAAAACAGGTGGCAATATCTCAATACATCAGTTGTGATTTAGATTTTTAATGTATGCAACCAGTTTTTCATAGGCCCAGAGGAGAGGAATTAATCTAAAATCCGGCAGCTCTTTAATTTAATTGTGCTTGAGGAACAAATTAGCTTAAATAAAAGTAAAGCATTTTACTCATTATGCGTGCAATAGGCCTACGCGAGTGACTTGAATTGCTGCTTTTTGTAATGTCATAACATAATGGAGTGGTTTCTTGTGCCAAGTAAGTGACCTTGTAATTGTAATTTAGTTCCTGTTTCTATTGAAAATGAGAATAACATAACTAACCACAACTGTGGGTATGTCCGAAACAGTGACTTGGCACTTTTGGCCATCAACACATGGAGAGCAAGGGATTGTTCAGGGCATCATTGACACAACCTCCGCATCGTCCTGACTTGAAACTGTAAATAGGCTGTAAGAGATAATGGATGAATACTGTATGACTGTAGGACTGGGGTGTCGCATCCCATGTTATGGGTGATTTTAATGTCTTATTTCAACCAGAAAGACTCGGAAGAATAAATACTGTAACAATAAATACATTTATTGATAGCCGAGCAAGCAATTAAAAATTCTTTGGCGTAGGCCCCGTCCATAGCTCGCAATCCAAGGGTCCGAACTCTGCATTTCCTGCCTGAAGACGAAGGCAGGGCGCAGCCGACCCCCTGGGAGGTATAGGAAGGGACCATCCTGGTGGTGGTGGGGAGGATGGAAGGGAAGGAACCATCTTGGAGGTGGTGGGGAGGATAGAGGTCAATGGAAGCGTCAGCATCTGCGAACTCAAACACGTGTAAGTACCGGTCTTATATACCGCGAGTATTAAACACGATTGGATAGATGAGAAGGTATTAGTGATGCAACAATTGAGTCTTCCTGGCAGAACTTACCACTAAAGCTTACATTTCCCTTGACCGAAATTGTGTTCAATGTCTATTTGCAAAATCTTTGAGGGAAGATTTGACTGGTCCAAGTTCGCTTGTTTGATTTAATAAAACGGAAATTGTCATGAAATAATATAATCGAATATAAAAAATTGATTGGCCAAGTTTTGCTAACCTTTATTATTTATATTAAAAATATCTATGACCTTTTGAGTGAGGGTGGTTTCACCAAGTACCACATGTTCCTGTATCAACATCTTTGTTGACCCTGGATCAACTTTCCAATCAACCAATCAGATTTGAGGGACAAGTTTACAGTTTATGTCAAGTTTAGGCTTAGAACCAAGGTGAAATAGGTGTTATTCACCCATCATTATCCTATGATTTTAGGGAAAAGTAATGGGTAAAGTTAGGTTTAGGGGTAGGTATTGGGTAAGGACTACATCTTGGGACAGGAATGTTGATCCAGGATCAACAAAATATGTTGATTCAGGACCATGTCTTACTTGGCAAAATCACGGTGGCCATATTTTTGCTCATTTTATTAGTAGGCTTATTTTCTGCTCCCCCTGTCAATGATCTAGTGTCCCTCAGCACCTTCGTTCAAAATTATATGGTGGCGCCCCTGCTTTCAGTACTTCACAAATAACAGGACAATGGCAAAATGGTGGCGTAGCAAGTGACACATAGTTGCATATAGCCAATGCAGAACTGAAACAGGAGGCCCTTATTTAAATTCAATACTTTTAAAAATGCAGCAATTGACAGTCCTGAACACTCTTTCAGTGTTTGATTGCTTAAAGGACTGTTCACACCAAGGACAAGATAACAATAGCAAGATAACTATAACAATAAAGTTTTAAACAAAGCTAAAAACATTGAGAGCCAATCCATCCACTGACTTTGTAGTACGCTTAGATTAATGAACCCTGTTATCCTTTGGGGTGGACGGATGCGAATATAGTTACAGTTTATAGTTAACTTCTTGGTATCGTTATTAGTGAGAACGGGACTTTATTCTTTTCCCACACATTCGACACCTGTAGGAGCACCCTGCGTACTGATTATTCACTGTTGCATTGGTGCAAACAAGGTTTTAAAGCTCTTCTTAGATATGCTTTTTGGGTTCTGCATAGGTTATTCTTTTCTGAGCAAATGGACATTAGTTCCGCTCAGTTATGTGAATGATGAACATAATGAAATGAAGAGTTGACAGTCCACTTTCAGTTTACATCTGGTTTCTCTCAGGTTTCTCTCAGGTTCTGGAAACACTTACTTGATGAAACCGATGAAACCACAACTGAGAGAAGTAGCTTGTAAGTCAAAAGCATCTTTTCACAAACCATATATAATATTTTTTTAACGTGTTTAGGCTGGGTTTTATGTGTGAAATATGTGCATGTAAGTTTTGTGTGCAAGATGGCAAAAGTTATGGGTGGGTGGGCGGATTTGTTTGGGGTTGGGGTGGTGCAAGTGGCTCGTTTGGCAGTTGCAACTTTAATGGTCCAGTAATTTCCAGACTGGCTCCCCCCCACCCTTTGAAATAAATGTCAAGTTTTGCATACAGTAAGCAACGGTTCTCAGAGCCACGAACATTGTGATGCACAATGAAACTGTACTACAATGACTGAAACCCCTCAGGGAACCTAAATCACCTTGAAGACACCCTCTACTCCTCTCCTTCTCTGATGTGTTTTTGAAATAAGGGTATCCCCACCGCTAAGGTTACAAATTTTAGATGTGTTTGTAGTGGGGGTCTGCCTATGTCATGTTCATGTTCAATTTGGTTTAATTTACAATCAACTGTTCTAAGTGAGATAACTGAAAATCTGTCATCCTTTGCTGACAAGCATTAAAGTCCCCAGGCTGCATAGATTCATTAATCTCAATGAATCTCTCTGATCCCGATTTGGGCTGAGTCCGACCAACCCAGTAGCACCTCATTGCTTACACGAGATTCAGGGGATGGAGTTGGATTCAGATCTAAAGGGTGGAGATGGGTAGGATTACGGGTGGGGTTGGGGATCAGGGGGGGGGGGTGGGTAGGATTAGAGTTCAGGGGCGGGGATTGGTTGAATTAGAGGTGGGG